GCGATTCGCAAAAAGTCGAAATGAATCCGACTTTTTTTTTTCGCTGGAGCGAAAAAAAAATCAGAGTCATCACCAAAAATATTTAATCAGCGCATGCTTATCGACAAAAAAAATTCACTTCGCGTAAATATTTCGTCTTGTGGAAAACGGCCTTTAGGTATTTTAATTGTTGATATATCCACATGTAATCCCATCCATTTAAAAATTATTTTTCAAATTTAAAATGGTAAAAAAATACATAGAATAAAGCTCTATAAATGCTTTGCCGTTCTTTCTACTATATCAAAACTTTGGTATAGTAGAAAGAATCAGATTTTATAAGACGCCTCTGAATTCCGCAAAGGCGCTTAATGAGTGTCTTAAATATAGTTAAATATTTATCAAATTTTGACAACAAGATGTAATGTAATAGTTAATTAACATTTGTGAATGTTTGAGTTCTTTGTTGTTTACTTTTTGAACTTTTTGAAAATACTCAAAAAATTATTCTCTATTATACTCCTATTATTTTTTTTAGTGCAGAGAAAGACATTCAAGGATTTGACCAGTACGGAAAAACTCGAATAACTATTTCTAGTAACGGGCAGATAGTTTGGTTAATGCCAGCTATACTGCGGTAAGGTTTTTTCAGGTTTAGATTGAACGTAACTTTTACTATTAAGCAGATGGTAAAGCATCTTATAACTATGCAATTTTATTTCATTCTAAGAACGGGAGATAAACTTAATAATTTACTTTCTATACTGTTAGCATATTTAACTTTCTTAAAAATTTTCTTAAGATAAAAGATGTAGCAACATAGCATAAAAACAACTTACTATTCCAATGGCAAAAGATCTTCGCTGTTGCTTTTACTTCTAAAGAATTGCTTTTAGCCAGAATTTCTATTAGTATATTTTAAATGCAACTCCTAATAAAAAGATGCGTTAAAACATGATGCTAAATAAGTCATTCATATGTCCCTCAGTTATATGTCCCTCTCGCTTCCAACAAGGCGGCAAGCAATCACTATAAAAGTTACTGGAAGAGAAGAGGTAATTGAATGAGCTGCCTAGTCATAAAAACAGTGACACAAGCAAAATTCATACATTAAGTCAAGAAGATTCAGCATTCAACATCCTAAATTGGAAACAATGCATTATAAATATATCTGCGCCGGTCTAATTGATGAAGAAGGAGTGGGAGGCTGTTTAATAGATAGAATCTGTTTACACTTTAAGTCTTTGCCTAGGAGGCCTTCTAAAAGACATTATAAATCTGTTATTGCGTTTAACAAATCTATTATTGCGTGGTCCGTAGAATCGTTCTTTGTTACAATGGCTTAATTTAAAAATTTTTTTGTTCTTATAGCTCAATACACTTATCGATCTTGTTAATGAAACTAATGGAGCTCAGGCTCCGAGACAATTTTGATAGTGTAAATGTAGAGCGTGTAATAATTAAGTAGCCATGCTTAACTAGTGATGCCCTTTCATATAAAAATAAAGAAAATCTTTCTCCTAAACTGATTTTTTTTGCGGGTTATTTTCGTTACGAAAAAATTTCTAATCAACAACAATTATAACCTTAATCTTTGCTTTTAAATCCTTTTGCTATAAAACATGCAAGATTTACTAGAACGTTATATAACATCGAGCAAAATCCCATCAAGGGCTGTTAATTGTGCAGTGTTGCAAAAAAAGTTTTTTCTTTCTCTAAAATCAAAATTAAATGATTAACGTTTTGGTTTTTCAACTTGGTAGTTCAGGCATGTTTGTGGTGGTTCAGATGTGGTTGCTGAAGTAGTACAGATTAATTTAATGGGCAGAAACTGTATTTATTTTTTCCACCCCAGTAAAATAACAGAATTAATGTTTTTGTTGTTTTTTAAGCAAAGCCAATTTAGTTTTTGAAAGTTTATTGTTAAAATAACCCGCAATTTTAAATTGACCATTTAAATAATCAGAAAATTTAAATTTGATTAAATCTATGTATTGAAAACTTTATTTGGAAACTGCCTATGATGACATACTGGTGATATATCAACAAATATTGGTTTTGTTGTAAAAGTGATTAGACCTACATTTTTATATTGACTTAAATTACTTACCATTAGCACAAATATTGTTTTTATTCAGTTTTACTCAATTATATTAATTAATAAAATTATACATATATATATATATATATATATATATATATATATATATATATATATATATATATATATATATATATATATATATATATATATATATATATATATATATATATATATATATATATATATATATATATATTTGTTATTTATCTTTACACAGATTTTGTAACAAAACTTCTCCGTAGTAGAAACAAGTTTTTAATTGGTAATGACTTTGCATTGATCATGACCGCTGCAAAGTTTTTTCATTTTTGCCAACAGTCTTGTTGAAAGCAAATGAAAAAGTCTTTTTATTAAAGTTGACGACGTTTAAAATTTCTGGTATTTATTTTTACTAATGAGATCATGAGATAGTAAACTCCAGTTGGCTGCTCCACGCTTGCATAAAAATACCTCTGAGTTATACGCTAAATAACCTCTGACGTCTAAATGCAATAAAAAAACACTTCAAGGACCACTGACTCTAATTTGTTTTCGCTTGGAGAGAAGTGCATTTATCAAATGATAGATGTACTTTTTAAAACTATAAGCTCAAATTGAAAAAAAAAATTATTCACATAAATAAACACTAGATAAGTTTTAGTATAAATTAATTTTTTTTTTAAATATTTTTGTTTAGAAGTACTTGCAAACTTGACATGCGTTTCTTTCCTTTCGATGAACAAATTTGTAATCTAACGTTTGGATCATGGGCGTATGATCAAAGCCAAATTGATCTTTTTCCAAAAAATCCAACTGGTTCTTTAGATTCGTATGTTATAAATGGGGAATTTGTTTTGAATAGTAAATTTTTTCTTTCTTAATTATTTTACTTTACTTTTTTTCATCTTCTTTTATTAATGAAACTGGCATTTTATATTAATTTTTACTATTTTAATTTTGTTTTAGGCTTCGTATCTGTTCGGGAATCTAAAAAATATTCTTGCTGTCCAAATCCATTTGTGACTGTGACGTATAGACTTTACCTGCAGCGTAAAGGAAATTTTTATTTATATAAAATTATTCTTCCTGGAGTTTTAATTTCTTTATTATCTTGTTTTTCTTTTATTCTTCCACCATCGACTGGCGAGAGAACTGGTTTGGTTATAACAAACTTTCTTTCATTATCTGTTTACGTGTTAATTGTATCTGATTCCGTGCCACCAAGTTCGGATACATTACCTCTGCTTGTAAAGTAAAAAATGTTATTTAATTATTATCATAAATATTATAAAAAAAGTAAAAAGTAAAAATTTATAACATATTTTTTCTTTTTAGATTTTATACAATCTTGATGATCGAAATAGGATTGGCACTATTGACAAACTGCATTATTATCGGTCTAGATGCAAAATCTGTACCCGTACCAAAATGGGTTTGCGTACTTTTTTTAAATAATCATAAAAAAAACATTTTTCGCATGATTAAAAGAAAATTTTTGTCAAAGGCTTTTAATGTTGTTGAAACAGGTAATAGCAATTCAATCCATAGAAATAATTTTGAAATGAGCAAAGTAGATAAAGACAAAATCAAATTAGACAAAAAAGAGGAAATTAATTTCTTAGAGCTTAATGACATCCTTGCAAAGAAGTTAAAATATACTTCAAATGTTGCGGAAGAAAACGGCGTTGTTTCGTCAAATCAGAATTACAAAATTAAAGGCAAATGGAGTGAAATAAACATTTCAGAATTGAAATCTTTTTACGAGTCTAGAAGAGATGACAATGATGTAAATTATCTTGAAAAAATAAACGAGTATTTAAACATAAAAGTTCGAGAAAAAAACATTCAACAAGATTGGATAAAAGTAGCTAGGTCAATTGATCGACTATTTTTTACGTTATTTGCAATAATGATATTATGTAGTAGTGTTTATATTTTTTCATACGCTTCAAATAAAGTTTTCTAAAACAAAATATTTCTATTATTATTGTTTTTAAACTAAGAGTTTATAAAGGACAGACATCAATCTTGCGGTTGCCAATATAAAATATTTATCTAAAAAATAATGCAAACATTTAAAAATATAAATAAATACAAAGTTATAAAAAAGAAACTAAGGACGAAAATTTTTATTTAGTTTTTTTGCAACGCCTTATACGACAAAAGTTTTATTTTTAAGCTATTTTAATGCAACTTTAAAGCCCGTTCTCCATTCAGAACTTTTTGCGCTTTTGAGAAGCGTAAAAGTTCTTTGAGCATGCGCAAACAGTTTTTTTAAGCCCGTTCTCCAATCAGAACTTTTTGCGCATGCTCAAAGAACTTTTCCGCTCCTCCAAAGCGCAAAAAGTTCTGAATGGAGAACGGGCTTAAGACGTTCAAATCAAGTCTAAATAAGATTGGATTTTAATTTCTTAATTAGGCCTGCCTATGTTAGCAGCTTAACACTGATTGGCTAATAACTCTTGTAATGTTTTTTAGTTTGCAAAAATAAATATTTATTGACTGTCTATGTTAATAAGTTTAAAAAAAAAAAAGTTTTGTAAGCTTTTATTTTTTATTTATTATACAGCTGCCGCCTATTGAAACAACAGATTTTGTTTGGAGATTACACGCAGGTAAAGATGAGCAAGATAAAACATTCAAAGCAAAAGTTCGTTCATACAATAACGACTTGTTATTTACATCATGGGCATTGAAACAATGTTTGGCGGAACTCCAGTTACGAGAGTACATAAACAGGTCTATCACAATTTAGAAAACCTAGAGCCAAATATAGGTAGGGCACCTCAATTCATGAAATTGTGGTCACATAATGGAGACGAGGCACTTAATAACAGAATTGACAACAAACTTCAATGTAACTTAGGTTCAAATTTAGTAACTCAGTTATATTTAGAATTAAGAAAAGTTAATGGGTTGATTATGAAAATTATTTCAATGAAAAAAGTTATTGGACCTAAAAAAAATGAAGAAGATGTTAAGGACGTCCTATTAAAGAATATGTAACATTAACCGGAAAAAAAGATAAGCGTGTAAGCATTCGATTCAATAAAAATACATACATTACTCTAAAAGTAGTTGCGGTTGCATTCTTATTTTGTAATAAAAATGACGAATTTCCCCTTGCACATCAAGTTGATATACAGATATATTAAAGAGTTGGTCTTATGAAAAAATACATTAATTCTCACCAAGACCCTACGATATCCTGTTATTCATAAAAGGTCAAATGGTGTTTTGTACAAAATAGCAATTAAAGAGTAACAATTATACATCTTTTATCTAGCTGTACGAAATGGAGTACGTAATCCAAGAAAGACTATATACGAAAAGTATTTTATGGTCCTTTTGAGGTTTTTATATGAATGGTAAGCTGAATCTTCTGGATGATGGTACTGAATCGGATAAAATAAAAACAAAAGCAGCTGCCTTAAAAAAAAATGCATATCCATTGAGAAAAAATTGGGGTATACTGGATGTACAACGTTAAAAAACATTAACAAGATTTTTTGCACAGTCCAAGTGATATGTGTGTAGTATATTTCGCTGTTAAAGAATGCAAAATAAATATTTTATTATTATTTTTGGTGCCCCAAGAAGTCTTTATGGTCTTATCACAGAGCACCGAGAAATTGCATTCGAATAGAAATTCACGTCTCTTTCCTTACCGATATTATAAAACTTGTTCCGAGGTGGCGTTGAACCACGGATCTATAGCTTTTGAGGCAAGCGCGCTAACCACTAAGCTACGGCTGCTTAATTGCATATATAAATATATCAAAATTAAGTGCTGAAGCAAGAAGACACATTACGCCCCACAAAAATTCAACACAAACTTAAAATATGAATGTATATACAAATAACTAATAAAAATGAAATAGAAAATAGCTAAAAGATAATGGCTAATAATTTAAAGAAAAACAAAATAAGAAATAAAATAGCTATTGGTCTTGTCACAGAGCATGTCGGAAGTGCATTTAACCAGCCTCCTTCCTTTCCATGATGCGAAAATGACTGTTTTTGTTAACATTATTAGTAAATTTTTTTTCCGCAGGAAAGGTTCGGGGTATTTTTTTGTTCTCTGAAAACTTGAATACTTATGATTAGTTTTATTAACATAAGTTTAAAAGATTTATGTGAATAATTTCATTTTTGTTTTACAATAAACAATGTTAATTTAATTACAAAAAAGTGAAAAAAGAATTTTTATTGATGAGGTATAAAATAAATTTACTTGGTGATTCGCCTAGGAACTAATTTTGCTTTATATATTTTTATATAATTTACCTCTTTTTTAAGTTGGTGAGAACCAAATAAAGGACGACAAAATAATTACAAACATATTGGCTAGCATTGTCTGCACTTGTGCAGGTTTTATGTGCCCAACTCGCACACTGCCTGTAACGGTACCACATTTTGTTGTGGTACCGTTGCAGACCTACGATCATTTTCTCACATATAGCACACAAACCATAATATAATGTAATACCTCCACAAATATTTAAACAATCTTTAAATATTTGTGAAAAAATGATAACACCATTATCATTTTTTTCAAAAAGTGTATTATCAGCCTCATCTTTATTAAATGTTATTAATGGAAACTTAAGAGATTTTGAGATACTTGATTTGACGACAAGGAGAGTTGAGGAAGAGTTTATGTAATGTGAACTTCAATCACAACTTTGTCGGCGTACATTAGTTAGATGACCTAACTAACAGTTTGTAATGCACTCTCTAACATTGTGTGCAATCCTGTCCGCTTAATCTATGCTATCTTTCTAACTCGACTACTTCTATCTTTCACTCTAACATATCTTCGTTCTTCCCAAACTCACCTTACTCTCAGACCGTAGAGCGGGTATAACGCTCCTTCGGGAGCTCAACTGGTCTTTGTGGACTTCTGGTAAAGTGACCTCTATTTGGGAATTAGCCGGAGGAGGTTAAACTACAATACCAGATACTTGATTTCTTTCTTGGTTTGCTTTGATGTTTATTTTTAGCATCTCTTTGTTTTTTAGAAAAGTTTTTTTTTTTTAATTTTGCTGAAGTTGTTGATTTTGAAGAGACTTATTAATTGAAGTATCAATCAAGTATAGTATCAGTTATAATCAAAGAGAAAACCATTTTGCAAGCACCTTTAGATTAGAGTTAGATTATACTTGTTGAATGATGACATTCAACCAATTAACGTTGCCTCTGGTTTTTTTATAACAAATTCTGGATGACGGCTTAAAAAAGCTCGAAACCAATCTACACCTGCATGTTTATTTGTTTAAAATAAATAAAGTTAAGCAGAACTTCAATGAGAATGTGGACATTTTTTCTCAAGTTTGAAAGCATACTCAAATGTTAGTTCTCTTCACTTAAAAGGACTTAACCCATATCCCATTATTGCAGAAACTTAAAAATATTAAACCAGACTATTACTTTATAAAATACATTGCAATTTATTTAATCCGTTTGGAGCTAGTTGAGCTTCTTTAATTTGCCTCTTATGAGTTAAACATTTAAATCGATCTAAAGATTTCTTGATTGAAAAGATGTTCTTGATAAAGGAAAGGCAAAACGTAAAGAATTTTTATTGCTAAATTTGAACTATTTAAAAATATAGCTATCAATAAATCAAAAGAACTAATGATTTTGAGGTCATAAATTCCACCGCTATGTTTAAATATGTACTTTTAAGGCTTGAGTCTCACTCACCACAATTTTGCTAGGGCACTTTTAACTTCATAAATCAATAAATAAAAAATTAGGGAATAGGGGGAGGGTTGAATCCGTAAAATGTATTGTTTTTAGAAAATAGCAGTAATAAAAAAGGTTCTTAAAAACTAAAATTCACCCGACTGAAGTGTGTTAAATACCCAAATAGCGGACTAAATTCCTCAAAATACGAACTATAACTTGAAAACTACCATTTTTATGACGGTAGAAGACCCCCTTTCCCAAAAATCTTTTCCCTATAATTGTCATTGTATGCAATCTTTACAGATAAAAAAACTTTGTTTCTCTAAAACACTCTTCAAAAATAAAACACAACAAAAGTTGTTGGTCTAAAAAAGATTAAAAGATTTTATTCTTTTTATTTTGTAAAAATTTTAAACTTGTGAAGATTTTTAAATTCACTGTAAAAATTTGACTAAAAGATTTGCATTTTTCACTAAGGATCTCTATTACTTCTTCTCTGTTTTTTGTTTCTCCATTACTTTATGTTTTTTGTTAAATAATTGAAAGAATACACTAATACTACGATGATAAAACCCATGTTTTTGAAACAATGAAGTTTATCAAAAACGCATCAAACTACGATGATAATGTTTTTGAAACAGAAATTTATAAAACTTAATAACTATTATATATATAAATAATATAAAATATATAAACTATTATAAAGTTTATTGCAATAAAAATTTCTGGAAATTTTCAAAACTTTTTTTTTTTTTCATTTCTTTAATATTTATAAAATAACAAGTTAAGATATCGTAATATAAACAATTACAAGTGAGGAATTTTACTATATATATATATATATATATATATATATATATATATATATATATATATATATATATATATATATATATATATATATATATATATATATATATATATATATATATATATATATATATATTATATATATATATATATATATATATATATATATGTATATATATATATACATATATATATATATATATATATATATATATATATATATATATATATATATATATATATATATATATATATATATATATATATATATATATATAAAAAGAATGAGGAAAAAAAAACCTAGTCAATTTTTAATATATTTTCAAAAACATCAATAATTTCTAAAATATCGGAGTCTATTGATTTGTTGACATTTCGATTGATCGATGCTCAAAGAGTTTTAAAATTTCTATGATTTAAAACGGCGCACCAAAAACACATTATTTATTTATCAGCCATTTTGCTTTCAGTTGTTGCAAGGAAGTGAATCTTAAAAACATTGTTAAGTCTAAATTAAGTATTTTGAAAAATGTATTTTTAGCAGTAACATGAAAGTCTTTGTTATTTACCGAGTCAGGGGTGCGTCGTTTTAAGTCCATTTAATTTATATACTAAATTAGAATTACTACAAATGGTTGTAAGGTTGTCACGCTCTTGTAAGTTTTTAACTGTTTGCTATTGATATGACAATATTAGACTCTAAAGTACTCCGCAAACACACAAACGTTTATTAATTGTCGTAGCAAAGTTAATGTAAACCGTTTAAGTTTGGTTGATTTATAATTATTCAAATATTAGTTGTTTCAAAAAATAATTTATAATTGCTAGAGTGGTGTTATATTTTGTCTGGCAAATTGTAAAGTAAGGAACAGGAGTGGTCCAAGAAAAGATTCTTGTGGTACACCGTTAGAGACTGTTTTTTAATCGGATTTATTTTTGTTAATGGTTACGCGTTGTAGGCGGTCGGTTAGCCAGCTTTTGATCCAATCTTGAAAGTTGTCGGACATTCCGTTAAATTTTACGCAACTTTGTCGAATACTTCAGCAAAGTCTGTAAATATGATATCGGTTGGGTAACCTTTGCGGGCAGCTTTAGTCAAGATGTCGCAAGTTTCAAGTAGGTTTGTGACGTAGCCTTTTCCTTTTTAAAACCCGTGTTGAGCAGAGCTGATGAGGTTATTTTTGTTCAAGTGGTAATGTGTTTGTGTAAAAAGATTTCCATTACCTTCAAGGGACTAGAATGCGTGAGATAGTTTGATAGTTTGAGGATAATATGCAGCCTTTTTTAAAGATAAGAGAAGTTTTGGCTTTCTTCTATTAAGACTTTAAGCGATTCAGAGAATATAAGATTTATTGTGATAGCAAACCTGCAGCTTTGTATTTCAGGACGCGTTGGTGAATGCCGTCAAAGCCCATTGATTTGGGTTTGTTTAGGTCCGAAAGTTTTTTTTTGACGCAGTCATATGATGCGAGTGTGGTCGGTTGGTTTATGCTAGTGGAACAAGGTTTGAATATTGGTATAGACCCTAGATGCTCGAAGACTAATTGGAAATATTCGTTAAGTGTGTTACAGATTACTCTAGGATCTGTTGTTATTTAATTATTAGTTGTTTCAAGTTTACGGATGTGGTCGTGTGTTTCTTGTTTGGTTTTGACGTACAAGTAGAAGATTTTTGGGTCATGCCTGCTATTATTTACCAGTTCCATTTCGTAAGCAAGAACGTTAATTAGTTAACTAGTTTTTTACTAACTTGCTTGTTTTTTATGCTGTTTGGGTAGAGTTGCCTTGTTTTTTTGACTGGCTGCGATAAATTTGCCCTAGATTTTGCTTATCAATTTGACAGCATTTGCAACATCTTTGGTCGCCCACTTTTTTAACTTTTTAATGTAAGAAGTTGTCGTTGATATAACGTGTAATAAAGTTGCTTAATATGTCGATAATATGTTGATAAATATTTTATATTTTTCGGAAATTTTCAAGCCGTCAAAAGCCGAATGCCAGTTAAATGTTTCGATATGCGTAGAGATTGAGTTGTAGCCGGCTTTGCTTCAGATCAGGCGTTTCTTGTAGAGGTTAGAGGAATCAGTTATTTTGGGTTCTTAAGTTTTTAGGTAGGTGAGAGCTATATTTACTCAATAAGAAAGTGTGCTTGACCTTTGTCTGTGTGGCCGAGAGGACTAGCTTTATTTATGCTGAGTAATCGGTCTGGTTTGTTAGTCAGGTTTATGTCAAGAATATTATTAGGAGGTTCCTCACGAGTACTGCAATATGTTGGAAAAGTTATATGCTGGGTCAAATGATTTTCTTCAAGACTCGAAACTTGCTATCTGTTGGCCAATCGTTTTGTATGTATGCAACAGCTGCAATGCCATCTCCTACGTCGACATTTGAATACACAGTGTAGCTGAAGTTGAAGTCGCCGAACGCAGATAAGGTTGAGCAGCCAAGTGAGTTGCATTTGTCAGAGGCAGTGCGTATGGAGCTCAATATTTTATTGAGCGTTAAGTCTCAGGTTTTTAGGTTATAGGAAGAAATTTTTGACTTGTTAAAGTGGCAGTACTTTGTATATTGTAGTTATTTGATGTTGAGTTCGTCAGCCATTTATTATTTTTTGAGTTGGGTACAAGAGTGTACCGTGTATTGAAAAATGGTTTGCAGTTGAGTACTAGGTCCTTTATTGGTGTGGTCAATTGGAGACATTGGTTGATTAGTGGCTATCTGGTTTTGTTTCTTCTTTGATCTTATTGCCTCGTATTGAGAACATTGTTGTTGATTTTGCAGGTAGAGATGCGTTTTATTTTTTGCATTCACTACGTAGTTGCCATGCTAAGTTCTTTTCGACTGCTGTTAAGCCAGGTTTGACAAAGAGTGTGGTATAGTTGGCTTGATTCGTTGGGACCTGAAAGAACAAACTGAACAATTTCAGTACATGGTTGCGATCGCTTTCAATGGTACCTATCATGTTGATTTGTTTTTGGTCTTTTTTGTGAGCTATTGAGTTTTTGCTAACAACTTGGTTCCACGTGGTGGCTTATAGTGTTGTACCTGCTTGTGTGTTGGTACGGTGTTGTGTAATGATGGCTTTCAAGTTTGGAATTGTAGAGACTTTGGTGTTTATGATGGAGTTCATGTTTGCTAGTTTGGTCTTCTGGTTGCCTATCGGCATTCAGCGAATATGACTCTAACGGTGAGTGTGTCTACTTGTTTTGTAAGCTCGTCACGGAGGGCTGCTACCAGGGAGTTTACTATTGTGTTAGCCATAACAAAAAGTTTATGATTTGTTTTATTTCTTTTAATACGCAAGAACGTTTTGCTATTTTAATGATTATATCAAATAAGGAGGTTTTTCTAAAAATTGCACTGATTGGAGCATGAAACTAAAAACACACTAAAATGTTTGTTTTCGTAACCCTTAACATACTGGCGATAAAATAATAAAATATAAATTTTAGCATATATTAAATTTAATAGAATCATTATATAATTATTTTTTTTTCTCCATTTTTTCCGTTTGTTTAAGCGTTTATTAAAGTTTATATGTTTAAATGTACAGGATTAATAAAAAATTAATGAGAGCTTTTTAAAAAACTTTTTTTGCTTATTTATAATTCCATTACTAATCTATACCAATAAGGGGATCAAACTGTCTATAAATTCCTGCTAACGCTCAACGAAAAATGCCGTTTGTGTAGCTCTTTAGACTTAAAATTGAAGTATTGAGGTGCTGTTAGAGGGCCTCATTTTTTTTAAATCTTTCATTGCACAAGTTGTTTATTAATCGGAACAAATACTATGTTAGCTTTTAATAGGGAAAGTAGGACGAATGGGAAACATTTCTTAACCAAGATCAAATAATTTTATAATGCGTGGAGAAAATAATCTTTGTCAAGATATTTTTATAAAACTTTTGCTTGAAGTTTCTTTGAGTATATCATAGTAAAATGCGTTGTAATTGTTTTGTTTTTGTGAAAGTAGTTCTCAATATACTGTTCCATACGCGTTTTGGTGTGTGCCGCAAATCAAACCAAAAACATTATTATTGCTTTTGTTTCAGGCCAACCACAAGCGCTTCCTGGTGTGCTTTAAGTAGTGCATTTACTTTTCACATCCGCTGGTGATATTGTAAAGCCAGTAAAATATGCCGTGTAATGATAAAAGTTTCATGCAGATATCTGCTTGCTAACCTAGCTAATTAGCGTTCAGTTCGTGTGAAATTCAAACGCATTTTTTACAAGTGATATTCTGTAGTACCATGAACGCATCCAAGTTAGCTTGCTAAGCAGCGCGTAGTTAGTCTCAGGTTACTTTCAATTTGCTGCTCTTAACACTCCAAACTCAATTCAATTAGTGTGCCGACTCTGGATGATTTTTGCAACTTTAAATTGGTGTTACAAAAGTGAAATCAACGCCTTGTTGTTGCCTCAAACATTCGACTCTGACTTTGATTGCATTTTGCGTAAATTCGGGTACTGATTGGCTTAGATAAAACTTTTAAAGCAAGCACTGCCGTGCATGGCCTTTAACTTCTTTTTTTTTTTTTTTGCAACAGCAACTAGTAACAATACTGAAAGTTTAATTGGCCTGATAGGCCAATTAAACTTTAAAATTTTTTTTACAGCTTTTTTAATGCTATATAACCAAATATAACGTTAATATTATATTTAAAAATATATAAAAAACGAGTTTAAATATATAACTTAGTATTGGCTTTACTTTGTTCAATAGTAATATAAAAATTTATCTAAAAAATGTTTTGTTTTACAAGATTTATAACTTAACAATAGCCTTACAAATGGCCTTTTCAAATTCACTGAACTTCATTCAATCAAATAAAAAATTAAAAAGAAATAATTTTTAATAACAATCTATGAATAAATAAAACTATTAACTGGTTGGTCTTCACAAACACACAGCTAATTGTTTGAATTTTAATATTTTAGCAAATTCGTTATCTGAACTGTCATCTTTTGATAAACATTCAATAAACTTCAAGATTGAATCCTGTTTGAGATTGAATCCTGTTTTTTATTCAAACAAATAGGTATGCGATAATAACTTTATAGGTATGTGATAATAAATTTTTTTTCCAAATTGTAATCCATGATATAAATATTATTATTACTGCTATTACTTTACCGCATTTTATTAGATCATTATTCGAATATACGTTGTCATACGATAAAAAAAGAAAACAATGAAGAAAAGTTATTTTATTTTTTTTATTCTTCTACTTGGTGTATTTGGTGAGTTTTATAAATTATAAATATATTCTTATCAATTCACTAACCGTTCCAAAATTTAACTATGTAAATATTACTGGATATTTAATATAAATATTTTGGCATTTAGAGCTGGATTTACACATGACATTCAACTTAATACCCAATATTATTATTATTTTTAATAAGTTGCATTACCATTTAATTTGTTTTATTTTTAAAAATTTGTTATTAATTATATGTATTATTTGTTGTAAAATGTCTGCTTTTTTATTTGTGGTTAATTTTACTATTTTGTTCAATGTGATTTTTTTTTTAATTATTATTGTTGTTAATTCACTTTATGTTGTTCATCGTTAAATTATTTTCAATCAAAAGTTAAGCTTCTCAATTTAAGTTTGAGATATGAGATTCAAAACTTTTTTTAAACATAATTCATATTAAACAATGGCCTCATCTTTGGGCTTTAAGCAATTTTTATAAGACTAAAGTATTAAAACTATATAATTTGAAAAGTTTAAGGGTGAAAAAAAAGTAAATATTTTTTTTTTGTCGTGCATAAGACTCATCGGATTCTAATTTAGAATGCATCATAATTATATAAGACATCATAGTTTAAATTTTTTAAAAGCATTTATTTGATAAAACTATTAGGCTTATATATATTATTATATTAGTATGCATTAATATCGCTGTGCAACGCAATATAATCATTGTGTTGCGCAGTGGGATACATTGAAAACAAAAATGTATTAACCTAATTTAACTATTTTTGCGACTGAGTAAAAAACAGCTAAAAATGACTGCGAGTAAAATAACGAACTTGTGCCATGATAGATTGAGTTTAAAATAATTAAGTAAAAACTATTAATCAGATTTTTACAAATAATGTTTTTTTTTTGTTAAATTATTGGCTTTGAGAATATCAAAAAACTTTAGAAAAATCTTAACTACGTCATCAAAATATCTCATGTTTAAAAAAACAGATATATAAAGCTTCTTTATGTAATCTTAAATAAAAAAGAAATACAAAAACATATCATTTTTGATATTAAATGAAGGAAGCATTTATAGTGGTGCTTAAACAAAAAAAAACTCTACCATTATTATTTGAAAAAAATATCAACTATCTCAGTTATATCATTATAATTAAATATAATTTTAATCATTTTTTAAAATTGATTTTTGAGCATATAAATGCAATTGACAAACGATTCGAAGTATCAATTTAAGAAATTTCTTACATTTTAGAGATAAACTTAAAGTTTTTCTAAATTCTTTAGAAGATTTTTTCAAAACTGTTTGAACCGCCATACGGATCAATTGTCATTTAGAAACAAATTTTATAAACTGTCAAACGGGTCACTCGTCACGAAAAGGTTAACTAATAATTTTTTAAATAAATCTTCAAATTAATATAATAATCTTTTGATTAAATAATTTTTTTACTCAACTATTGAAGAGTTGAGTTTTTAAATTTAGTTGTCAATTATCATTTCATTTCGATAACATTTATTTTTCTTTATAAAAACCAAGTTTTCAAAAAAAAAAAAAAAACCATTTTTATTTACTTTTACTGTGAATATACAGCTTGTAGAATTTTAACAACCTAAAACTAAGTAAATTTTAAATTAAATTTTTTCTTTTGTTATTAAGGTATATATATATATATATATATATATATATATATATATATATATATATATATATATATATATATATATATATATATATATATATATATATATATATATATATATATATATTGATATTTAAGGCTGTTTTGTATTATAATAATAAAACAGAACTCATAGCCCAAAATGAGTACTTAATATTAAAAAAAAAAGTTTCAAATAGAGAGAAATATATATATATATATATATATATATATATATATATATATATATATATATATATATATATATATATATATATATATATATATATATATATATATATATATACATATATATATATATATATATATATATATATATATATATATATACATATATATATATATATATATATATATATATATATATATATATATATATATATATATATATATATATATATATATATATATATATATATATATATATATATATATTAACGAAGGAAAAACAACTTTTTCTATGGTACTTTAAGTTTGACATCATTTTAGACTCAACAACCCCTCCCCGTTGTCATTTTTTTCCGAACCTTTCAGTACCCCTCACCCCCTTTATTTACTGACATCATTTATGGGTAGGCCCTATGCGGATTATGTATATAAATGGTCTCGATAATTCAATTTACGGATGGTCTCAGTATTAAAACTACTTTGAGGCTGTGGCACAAAGAAGCAAGGAAAAACAGTGTAAAAAGTCTAACTCGTCGACATGGTGTTGTACTATTAGAAGCATTGAAGCTCAAGCAATATCATGGAGTGGCTTTTAGAATTCAAGTTTTTACTTCACATTTCTGAACTCTGGCTCTGATGACACTTTTATTTGGTATAGTAAAGCTCTGGCTCAGGAGTTTATTATTTAGACTCAGCTGACGACCGCAAACAAAAACGAAATTAGATTATCATGAATATAGCAAGCATGCAAATTGTATGCAAATACCCTTTGCAGTGCTTAAATATATGAGCATAATTTCAAAAGGAGATCAATCTGAAGAAATAGATAAAAATAAGATTCGAAAGAAGTACAAACTTAACATGCAACATTAAGACCAGGAAAATATTCAGAAGATATAGGTTAAATAAAAATAAATGAAAAAATATGTTAGAAGGTTAGTATTTGATGGAAGAAAAGTTACAACATTAGTTATGGATACTAACAAAGAAAAAAATATACAAAAAAATACCAAAAAAGAACATATAGTTTTAATTCAAAAAACTAAGGTCAAAGTATCATAGATATGCAGTGACTGTATTGGGACATGGATACAGAATTAAGACAAGTATAAGTAATTACTAACTCAAAACAATATCAATACATCTAATTTAGTTGCCCTGGGTTGTGACAGAACAGTTGTCAATACCAAATTTCTAAATGGTGCAATTGCTTTATTTGAATTCGAACTAAAAAGTCTATGTATTTGACAGATAAATTATCCGCAAAATACGTGCAAATGAACTGCCTCTACGACATTTTATTCAAAAACTCAATGGACCTACGTCCAGACCTAACGGATGGTCAGCTTTTGTGTGCGAGGAAGGGAAGTATGAGGGGTGGAAGTTTCATGCGCAAAAAAAAAAAATGTATTTTTGGCAATTAAAACCAAAATATTTAAAACTTAACAGCTTCATTTTTCTAAAATTTTGCAAAAGCATAACTTTTAAACGCTAAATTATTTTGTTAAAACTTGTTAAAATTTGTTAATAAAGTTGAAATTTGTTGCCACATTTATATCAAGATCGGGAGCCTAAATTTTATATTTGTTTCCAAAATTGAACCATTATTTAAATGAATCACAAAAATAACGGCAATTCAATCTTATATAAACACAAAATGTAAAACAAAGACTTAGGTCTTTGTTTTAAACCAGTATGATTTTTAAAAAGTATAAAGTTTGTCTGGTAACTACCATTTGATCACATAATAGCAAAAACTGATTGTGCCTTATTGTTAAAACATGGTAAAAGTTATTACAGGATTAAAGAAAAAAAGAATCGGTGCCCTAATAACGGGTTTAACTATCTAAAACTTTGACACATTGTTTGCTCTCTGAATAATAAAAACTCCTGATAAAATTTTATTCTTAGATTGAAAATAAATTTATAAAACAATAAATCCAATATCTAAATACTTTTAAACTTTACCAGTTTTTAATATTATATGCTTTATTGCACATTAATGGATATTAAAAACTGGTAAAATTTAAAAGCGTTTAAACATTTAAAAAATTTAAACATTGTGAACTTTATAATGACTTAAAACTATAAGTTGACCTTTTCTTTTATTTTATATATTTTTTTATTTATGTGTTTTTCAAATATATTATCTTAAAAGAAATTTTCATCAAAAAAAGTAAACCGGGTTGAAAGAAATCTTATCTCGATTTTTTGAAAGCCTATTAATAACTAGGGGTTCAATAACGCCCGTATCTTATTCATTCGAACAAATTAGCGAAATCATCATGCTAAGAACAACTGATGTTTTCAATTCGGCTTTTAATTTTATTACATTTTGTATTGCTTATTTGAAGAGACCTAAAATTTTAGTACTAAAAAACATATTTTTATTTACCTATTGCGCAAGATAAGTTTGGCATCTAGATAAGGTTAGATTACAGTAGGAGACAAGATAAGTTTAGGAAAAACTATAAAATATATTTGTAAAGCATTGCTCTTATCAAACAACGACTTTAAACAAAATAGATATACAAATGTTCAAAATTTATTTTAAAAATATTTTGTTTTATTAACCACAGACAATGGGCCAGGTGGCTGGTAAAATGTTTAAATAAATATTTTTAAAATTATATAATGATATTTAAATAAATGATCAAAACCATGTAATGAAACTTATTTTATATTATTCTACTATATTTACTAAATATTTAATCTGGTGTTGTTTTTAATAGTTTTAATTAAAAATACGAAGACGATTTTAAAATTAAAAGCATATATATATAAAAAAAAAAATTATACTGACGAAAAAATCACTAAGACCTTTTTTTTTATTTCAATGAATATAGTTGATTTGTATTTTAGACGGCCTTAAAAAATCTTTAAACATATAGGGCTCTTTATTCGATTGCTAATTAAACGCTATTTGAAAAGGAACACTGTCACTTAAATAAAACATTTATTTTTGGAGCGCCCACGCAGTGGGCACGGACGTAAAACAGATATATATATATATATATATATATATATATATATATATATATATATATATATATATATATATATATATATATATATATATATATATATATGTGTGTATATATTTATATATACATATATATATATGTTTTTATCAAAAGATATTGTTGGCTTAGCAAAGGAACAGCCACAAATAGTCATT